AGGAATTAGGCAAGCGATGGGAAGGCTATTTTAAATCAGGTATGTGAATGTAATATCAAATAAATTATAGAATATGAAATTTCAATCATTTAAAATAAAAAAATTGGGAAAATGGCCAATTTTTTGAATCAATGAGGTCAATATGTTAAGATTTTATTCAACAATAAAAGTCGAATAACAAATCTGTTTTTTTGTTTATATCTATCCTCTAAATACACACAGATTATATACTTTTAACAGTTAATTATAAAAATAGATTTTTATGGTATGGAGACCAGGGAATTTTTCTGATTTGAATGGTATAGTGATATTACGGCTATTAAACTGTATAATATATTAAATTATTAAATATATATTATACATTACATTATTTAATATTAATGTACCTATTTGTAATTTAATAAATGCATGATGGTAAAAAATGTCTATGTTATTATATTTACAGGTCAATGGATATTTGAAAGCGAACAATTTTGGACATTGCCATTCAACTTTGGTCAAATGAAATCATTAGATAATGAATTATATTCTAAACTTTCGGAGTCCTTTTTAATCATATCCAAAGGAGATCTGAACTATAGGAAACTAGTCGGAGATATATTTTGGGAGCCTACTGTACCTTTTACTCAAGCAGTAGGAAGTTTTAAGCCTTCTAAATTATTAGCATTAAGAACATTGAAATCGGATATCACTTGTGGCTTACCAGAAGGTTTAGCGGAACATATATCAAAAAATGATCCAGACTGGTTAAAAATCGGAAAATATGCTGTTATTCATGTAGATGGTATTTAAAATGTATTATCATATATATCGTGATTAGAAAACATGTATTTTCAATTTAGATATTAGACAACTATTGTTATCAAGAATTAAAATATGTAATCAAAAAATATTGAATATTAATTAGTCATTAAACTGATTACACATTGTATGGTGAATATATATATTATAATTATAAGTTATTATTATTAGCTTATATACCAACTTTATTAAATGCTAAATCATATTTACATAGATTATAGATAAGTAGGTAAATATAAATAGCAACTATTGATATTTGTCCTAAATTTATATATCAAGTTAAATATGTACTCGTATGTTTTTAAATGTATTAAATGTAGTCAAATTTAAAAATTATTTTAATTTCTGATTTATTTTTTATTACAATAAATTATACCTATTATATAAAAAAAAGTTTTTAATTATTTAAAACAAAATAAATCTTATGTTTAAGAATAAAAAAAGAGTAATCTTTCATGTTTTATAATATGTTTGATTAGAGGTTATAAAATGTATTATCTTGTGGTTGTATTCTTGTATGTAATAATTTAGATTATTATTGATTAATATTGGTAAATATTATGTGTTACAACTTGGGTGTATCAGAATAAAATCATCTCTAAGCATAGTTCGTTGATTTGGATGTTATAATAATTAATGGCATAGTCAGGATTATGGAATTAACGGGATAATGGGGAAGGGGACCTTCTTTTTTTGGTAAAAAAGCTTGAAAATTCAATTGAAGGTTCTTCCTAAATTTTTCTTATGCCAATTTAAAATTATCAAAAATACATAAATGCACGATATTTTTATTAACATTTGTATTTCTAATTCTGACAAAATAGGTTATTTCAAATGAAAAATAAAGATATTTCCAAATATTATTTTGGTTATTTTACTCAAAATATTTTAATACATAATGACTTTAAAATATTTAGACTAATTTTAAGTTATTAATATTAACTATTTATGTAATTTGACTTAAAAGTTTTTTAATTTAACCAATAAACACATCCGTTACAATGAGTAGTGATTAGGCAATTTCGTAGTTATATGATTTTAATAAATAATGATAAAGTTATTAAGTCCTACAAAAACACGATGAATGGGTATACACCGAATACTAAAAAAACATAAGTATTCGTCGCGTTTACGTATAATAGATTTAATTTTTAATTGAGGAAAAAAAACAAAGATAGAACATAAAAAAATTGATTTAAATTACTTTTTAATAAAATTTTAATTAAAACTCATTTTAACAAGCTTTAAAAATATCTACTCAATAATTTGTATCTAAACTGTTATCCATTTACATTACAATTGTTTTGTTTATTAGTAGAAGTAAAACTATTTGAACTATATTATAATATTTTTAATACCGTGGTGGTGGTTTAAACTAAAGATAATGTATACATATGATTTTTAATTCAATCAATTATTGGCTATCTATTATACGTTTAGTTTTAATCTAATTTTTTATCAAGTATACGACCTATGTAAGTAATTGTTTATTATTAATCATTGTGATTAGTACATGGTATTATATTTATAAAATATTGTGTTGTTGATATATATGACCTTTTTTTAAGTAAAAACAACACTTATAACTTTGTAAATATTTTTATGTATTATTTTCATGTTATTACTGATTATTATGAATAAATCATAAATTCATATTATATGCACTATTATATTAATGTAAATATCATATGCAGACATGCAGTTCAGGTTTAAATGTTTAATTATTTAATGTATGTAAGCAAAGACGTGCGGACATTGGACATTTTATACAGATGCAAATTGCATAGGAGTGATTTTTATTTAAAATTTAGGTTTTATGAGTCAATTAAAAGCATTTTTTTCAAATTTATGACATCGTTTAAAACTAAATAGGTAATCATATAAAATTCATTGTAAGGCTGTTTTTAATGCTGTGTAGTATGGGAACAATTTGACAACATTTCAGCAGATTACACATACCTAAACTAACCTAGTACCTATTAATGAAAAATTTTAATGACCTGACTAGCAAGTGACATTATTTCTTAAAAATACGTGTTTTCTTTAATATTTGAAATTAATATTTTTACTTTTTAAAATGTAGGCTATCCTAAAAAGCGCAATAAACTGTACATCTCTAATTGATTTTAATAACACGAGGTAGTTTAGAGTTATTGGGTATTGGCCAAATAATAATTACCATTCTGAATCAAATATTTAAAATTCTAATGTTTTATCTTATAAACTAAATACTAACAGGTATTGTGTATTATAAGTTCACTTTTATTTTACTGTTATGATGGCCTCAAAATTATTAGTATAGGCAAGGAACTTATTTCATTAACCATATATTTTGATTTGAGTTTGTTATTGAATATAAGAAGTATTCAAATATTGTCAAGAGTGGGTATTCAATATCATTTTTTTTTAAATAAGTAAATAATTATACATATTATAATTTATAATCACAACTAGCTAAATACTTATCTTATACGGATACAATTAATTTACCCTAACATTTTTTAAAACTCATATTTGTATGTTATATTGTAATATTTTAGATTTCTAATATTAGTATTAGGTAGGAATATCAAGACCAATAAATGTGAAGATTATTCGAAACTTGAATGTTCTAGAATTTCATCTGGCGTCAGCAAAATAAAACATCGCAATAAAAATAGGCAGATTGCGACCCATGTACCCATCGTTATTGGTACATACCTACACAACCTGTTTATACACGCGTGTTATTATAAATTATGACCGTGATATTGATATCACTAACGTATATAATTAATATTTTATCTATAACGGTGTCCATAATAACGTATTATATAATCCTTTGTTTATCTAAATTCCTTCGAGAACCACCTAGAACATTCTGAGGAAACACCTACAAATATTATGGTAAGTACCTATGGTATATTATTATACTATATAGTGTGATATATAATATGTTATGTACAACTATATAATATGTATGTTGTAAAAGCCCAAATATTTATAATGAATTAAAGTCAACTGGCGCTTGGAGTCGAAACAAAATATCTATATATGGGGTGATACACCAAGCATGCTCACCCCTCATTTTCCTTTAATCATGAATTTATTCAATTTCTGATTTTTGAAATTTTTAATATACTCTTAAAGACCTTATTTTCAAATTCTAGAATTTTTTTATAGTTACCGAGTTTTTAGTTCTTTTTCGATTCAAGTCCCTATTTTACTGTAAATTATTTAGTGGATAATTGTCTTCAAGTGGAAAATGGAGTGGTTTATAAATTATTAAAATATTTGTACTAAGGATAGTAGTCCTTAAAAATTGTTTTACAAAAGTATAAAGAAGTTATAAGTTATAATATTAGATTTCGTGTTCATTATACTAGGACCATTTGAACCAAATATAAATGTTGATAAATTAATATTAATCACTACAATTTTCAAATCACAATTCAACTCATATGTTTCAAAGATTATTTTGAAGAAAAATAATAGAGAGAGCATGCTTGGTTGCATCACCCTGTGTATTGCGTTTTTCTATAGGTACCTAGTACCTACTTTATATAAGTTGATATATGGATTTCAAATCGGGTAATCGTAATATTACATCTGTCAATATTAATTAATTATCACAAAATTGTAATCCTCCGTCACAGTGTTAATAGTTTTAACGAAAAACAACGATATTTTTATTCGAAATCAAAACGCGAGTATCACTGTAAAAAAACAATTCTTGGAAGTCTCTTTACTATAGATTAGGCGTCGAGTGTTTACTGAATGCCCACGCTTTTAATCCCGTTATCCTCAGTTTGATTTTCATTTGGCTTAATGACATACGTATAAAAAAAAATATATATTTTGCCAAGCTTTTTTCTGTGACAGGACAATTACAAAATAAAATTTGAAAAATATACAATTGTAACGTGTTAATATTACGAGAAACATGTTTTATACGTACTTGTGCAATGTAAGCTAATGGTTAAATATAGTTTATTATATGTTACAGACAGGATGTGGATTGATTTTTATCGTGGTTACAGATTTAGTAACAATAAAAAAACACACATGTATTTTTTTTCTGGCCTATTAATTATATAAAAAATATATATAACTTTCAAATTGTCATGGAATGCGAAGTGGTATTATAGTTGTATTGATACAACGTATAATCTATTCAAAACAATTGTTTGAAATAAATTAATAATAAAATAAAAAAACTAATGGAGGACGTACCAAATATTGACCATATTGATGGTAAATCATTCATTGATTCGATTAAGTATCCTATAATTTCGTATCTATTTAAAATATGTTTGTTTTCAAATATTTTATAACTTGTTATAATTTAAGTGCGTATATGATGAACGTTACCATTTGATTTGTTTAACTTAAATATATTGTTTTTAAAATAAATTTTTCTAGTTAACACTGTGTCTGAAGAAATAACTAAAATATATGGAAAAAATGGTAGAAACAAATTTAAAAAGCTAGTGAAGAATGAAAAAGTTTATTCAAAGTAATGCGCTATAATCAATTTTATCATATTAGGTATATGCCTCAACTGTAACGGAGAATTTTTACTAAATTATTAGCATTGATAAGTTGAAAGAAGATATGGAAATATTAGCTGACAAATCAGAATTTGATGAACTGTTAACTACAGAAAAAGCATATTTTGAAAATGAAGAATCTTTTAATTCAAACCGCCGTAACGGACACGTCATGTTGACTGGTTTCAATACGATGTATTCAAGGAGTTATATGGCAACTGTGAAATCGATCCACGGCATAAACAATGATGATAACGTTTATCAATACGAAGTACAACTTAATTCTAATGGGCCGATGCGTATTGGATGGGCCACTCAGAAGTGTACGTTTACCGACGACCTGGGAGTAGGTATTTAACGTAATATTCCAATGATGAAAATGTAATTTATGTTAAGAAAGTACCAAGCTATATGGGTTCATCGATGATGATTTATTTTAATAAAATGCATATTTTTTTACACGGTTACACATTATTCTAGGAGAAACAGAAAATTCGTATGGTTTCGATGGTTATAATTTAGAAAAGTGGAGTATGTCCAATGGTGCGAAGTACGGTCGAAAATGGAGAGTCGGAAATATAATCGGTTGTACTATTGACTTAAAACACAATACTATGGAATTTTTCAAGTATTACTATTAAAATTGTACTATAATACAAGTTAAATAGTGAAGCCGGTATTTAAATTAAATAGGTATTCAAATAATAATATGGAGAAAAAGTATACAACACAAGTGGTTCATTGTTCTTTCATTGGTTTGTTACGATATTTTAATTTTTAAGTTAGACAAATAAGTATGTAAAAATGTAAAATACTAATATTTGAAAATGCTCTAAATTCACTTAAAAATTATAATATCGTAAGCAACTAATGAGAGAATACAGATAATGTTCTTACATTTATTTTTTAAGAGCATTTTGAACTTCAATATCATACATTAATAATCTATCACCGCTTAATAATATAAATGTCATAAAAAATCAAGGTATATAGTTTCATACACAGATAATACTTTAACCTTTAAGTTTGATAAATACTCAAAGCACTATCATATTGAAGCCAACAATACAAAATTGGTTTTGATGAACTAAAAATGAACAAATTTTCTATAATATGCCGTACACTCGTACGATAAGATGGATGTCGATTGGTTTATGATACATTTTCGGTTTAATATTTTATTCCCGTAATCACGTAGGTACCTAACTAGTCAAACACAAATTAGATATAAACTGTATAGGTATACTGAAATCAAAAAATAGCTGCTTTGTATTGTGTGTTAAGTATTATACTTGTAGTTTTTAAAAACACACACAATATTGCAGTTGTCATTTATATATTTTTTTAGTAATGGTCAATCACTTGGTGTAATATCTGACGAGTTATTAAATGAAGGTAACTTGACGTATTTTCCTACATTAACTCTTTATGAAGAAGAAAATGTGGTTGTTAATTTGGGTGGAAGACCATTTAAATTTCCAGTGTTAAAATCCAAACCTATAATTGATAGTCCAACAGCACTAATTAACTATTTCAGACGACTTGAGAAAATTATGAACTCCTTAATCGAAAGCCAAATCAGTCTAAATAAAACTAATGTGAGTTCTATACTTTTATATTGGAAATTGTTTTTAAAACGCTAGTGACTAAATATTTTCAGACGAAGAATAGTTTGAAACACTACGATAAAATAAAAATTAATAATGTCATAAAAAATATATTGTTTCGTCAATTTGAACATTTATTGAAGAATCAATTTATTATAGATAGCTGTTTTATATTATTCTTAAGTAATTTGAACAAGAAAAGTCCTCAAAAGCTAATCATTTTTTTTGAATTGATGTGGGAAATCGTATCTGTAAGTTATATATTTTTAACTTAGTATTTTATGGTTTATAAGAATGTAATAAATTGTTAACAATCTTATACTTTACACGTCATAATATTACGCATTTTCTCACATTGTATTAAAGTCAAAAATAGCTAATTTATAAATCTGAAATATTTGATTGTCATTAGGTACACTTACTACAACTAATATGTTATTTTAGATTCCGAGCGGAGCTTCGCTTATGATTTGGTACCTAGTGAATTTGTGATGTGTGTGTTTTATTTTTGTTTCTGACGTCGCCTTCTAGGGCAGAAAATGCTTCAATCTCTAACTTCGAATGAGATTTTTGGTTGCACATTGTATCTAGTTGGCTGCAATTAATAATTACATTCGACTGAATCTCAGAGTTAATTTCATGCGAATTACGTTTTGTTTTGAACTTTATTACTCTATCTTTATTCACACATATGGTACCTATTTGAAATTTTCAATTGGGTATAATTATAATGATCGAATTAAAAATTTAAAGCCGGGGTTGGAATGTTATTTTTATTTAATTATGCTTATATTTTTGCTGCTTTCGAAATTTAGTTTTCTTGTGTATAAATACCCTATTCAAGGACATAGGAGAATAATCCTCCTATACTGTTGTGTCAAAAGTTCTTAGTTATTGAGGCTGTTTTTATTATTTTGGGATTTCTACTACTTTGAACGAATTCTTGACAATGCAGTGTTTTATGTTTATATAAATTGAATAATATGACGTGTTTACTAATTTATTTTAGTATATGGTTAAAGCCTTAAAGGTTTAACTAATTAAAATGTACAGTAACCATAAAGTTTTCCAATTGCCTAGAAATATAGAATGGTATCCATCATGAATTATTTAATATTTTGTCTGCTTTGTGAATTTAAATGTACGTGGAGGAATCAATTTGACGTATCACATCAATCAACAGTACTCAAACTTTTAACTGCAATTTGTCAAGAAACCAACACTAGAAAAGAGATAATTGTAAATATTTTTTTCGACAAGATTAAGTACGTACTATCATTTTAAACTAGATAATATAATATTTTTCACACTTTAAAAGTTGTATGTCTCGAAACAAAAAACTACATTAGGCACCACACTTAATTATTTTATAAAATTGTGTTTTTCGTTTCTCAAGTAGAATATTACATTATATAATGTTATGCATAAGTGTCAATTATTGTACAAAAGAACTTAGGAAAATTGTTAAATTAAAAATGAATGTATAATGTATGTAATATTATGTAACAGATTATATAAGTACATTGTATCGTCTTTGGTAGGTAGTATTTGATTTAGGTATTAATTATAGTTAACATGTGGCTGATAATAATATATTCTACCAGCAATTTAATCTATTTTTAGCATGCTTTTAGATTTATCAACATAAAATATTGTTTGAAGTGTAGGGAAGTTTTTTACTATTAATCAGTGACATAATTTATTTCCATACCTATTATTAACAATAATTTAAATACAAACTTTTTCATTTTAAATCAAATAAACCTTACACGGAGAAACAGAAATATAATTATAACAAAAATAAAATAAAACAACGTGATTGAATCATTAAATCTCAAATTTCAATAGTTCGAAGTTAAGGTCAATGTTACTAAGATCCACTTCATCATTAGTGTTCTCATTTTAATCACTCAGAGTTGAAGAAAACATAACAAAATTCTAGATAAATAATAAATGTGATTAAAATCTGAAGTCTGGTTCCCAATGATTGCTAATTACTGCGAATAAATAATTGGATGCATATTTACATTTTACAATTGTAGTAATTCATGGGTTTATTCGAGTTATTAATTATGAACAATACAAAAGTTAACTGTGGTACCTACTAAATGCTCAGTTTTCTTATTGTAATATTAAATAAATGATTAACATCAAACAATAATATTGTTAGTTATTATGTAATACTGTTTTAGTAAATGTATAATTTCCATTATAATTATATTAGTATAAAGTAGCGATACAATATTAATATCAAAATATAATAAAGATTGATAAAATTTTGTTTATTAAAATCATAACTATTATTTGTGACCTTTTTTTGTATTTTTCATTAAATTATGCTACTATACCAACTTAAATAACACATGAATATTGTACATTTTTTCGTTCATCTAGGATCAGATTAGACAAACATCATTCTTAAGACTAGACTATACCTAGACTATACCTAGACTTAGTACCTATGTCCTACAGATTTATGATATAGTACACCTGAGTAAGACTAAATAGTGTAAATTCTCCATACCTGGGTGATGGGGGTGGATTGGAGAGAGTATACTTAGGACTGTGCATGTTGTCCAGTTTTCTTCGAACCTTTGCCAATATTATTTGCAACAATGTCCGGTTATACTATATATTAGATAATACTTATTAATTTTCAAATATACTTTTGAATTAAATATTTAATTTGAAATTACCAGTATAATATAGGTACACCGTACACAGAGCAATATTAATCTCTATTTATTTAAATCCGAATATTATACCTACAATATGGTTTATGTTATAATTTTATTTTATTTTTATCATCGAAGAGATGTATGAGTTAAACTTTATGATTAATAATTAATAATTAAATAACAAAAGATCACATTGAAACAATTTCAAATTAAAATGACTAATATAACAAGAATATAATAATAGAAACGTTAAACTTCGTGTTGTAAAATGATTGTCCGATTTTAATAATATGCTGTTGCTTTGGTGTTGATGATAAAATAATGTCTTGACAGTTCATGAGTCATTATTTTTCTATCTATGTATAATATACCACTATATTTACTTGTCATGAATGTTGATGAAAGTATGAAAATCTTTTTCAGTTTAGAATACTTCTACTGTTGACTTAGGTATAATATGTTCTTTATTCATCATCATCAAATTTAAAAATAGTAGTTTTTCGTTCTGACTTCTAATATAAGTGGTTTTTTTGTCTCAACAACTCACAATACATACAGGAAAATTCAGTACAATAAGTTTAAATCATACAATTATATCCGCGTATTATATTATTTAAATATTTATAATGTTCGACCCGCGGCATTTAATAATAGAATATTTCAGGTCATAACCAATATTATATTTTATCTATTTATACACTAGTGACTAGTCACTAATAGATATATATGTAATTATTAAGATTTTGTTTTATTTAAAATTATTCTCATGAAATATGTACCTACGAATTGTGCGTTACATTGCATGAATATGAAAAACCTGGACATTTATTGCTATTTTACAATGTCCATTTTACTAAAGTATAATATAGCTACGCATTAGATACATTAATACATTATACATACACGGATTACATTGTTCAGCAAATAAAATTATTCTCACATAACAGTAATTGTCTACAATATGCATTAAAAAAATAATTCATTTTATAGATTTGCTCACTTTTTGCATATTATATCTCCGTCCGATGAAATGCTCGAAAAAATGATACCACGCGTATATTGGAGTATAGAAAATGTAGATTTGAAGGAAGATATGGAAAAAAAATTAGTTAAAAATTTCCCTCGAGATTATAAGAAATGTAAATCGTCTTATAACGAAGCGAGTGAAAAAATCAAAAAATTATTGAATCGTAATATATATATATTAATAATACTTATTCACAACTCATATTAATTACATTTAAATATTATTTTAATCAAACAGAATTAGAGAAACTTCAAATAATATTTCTTAAAACCTTACTAAATGACAATGATCAAACTGACACTGTGGTGAGCTCCAGAGTTCTATTTAGTAGACGATTTCAAAGTTTTACCCAAGAAAATATGATTTATTGGAGGGTAAATATTATTTTTTTTTACTTATTATGGTTGATATCAATGTATTATGATATTTTTTTCTCTGAATTTTATTGAATCTTACCAGATTTAGTATTATTCAAATATTTTCAATCTTCAAATTTCCAAATTAACTACTTACGATGTTGATTGTTATATATAACTGATATTAATATTAGTTGACAATACTATACGAAAATAGTATGTTTTTTTATTGAAATACAAATTAACTTCAATATTTAGATTATATTTATCATTGAAATCCTATTTTATTATAATGTTTTCCATTCGAGGGGGCCTTTAAACTCTAAAGCAGGGACTTCACAAAATTCATATTATCTTCCAACAAGTTAATTAAATATTGATTAATTGATTAATATATAAGTATTATACATCAATGAGTTGACTTTGGTTTTATTTAATTTTTTACATTTAACTATTATAAAATTCTTTTGAAAGGGATGACCGCAGTATTATAAGTAATCTTTAGAAATTAAAAAAAAATATTTATGAATATTATTGATATTTATTGGTAATTTATAAAATATAAATGATCATTTCAAAATAAAAATATTTGCAATCATACGTTATAAATTATAATATATTGTGATTTAAGTGCCTTAAATAGTATATTTTAAATTTCCTTATATTGTCTAGAATGATCCTATTTTAAAATTACCGGGTCCGGTATTATTGAGTACATTCTTTCGTATGTCTTTTCTATTACGTGAACTATGGACTGAAGAACTAACAGCCGGAGAAGACTTAAGAATACACCCAAATATATTTTATTTGGAAAACTACAATTTTTTTGGAATTGAAAGAATTGGAGGCACATTTTCGTTTTTGAAAAACACATATAATGAAAATATTAAATCGAAATTAGGACCTCCGTTCGACAGCCGAAATGATGATGATAACGAAAGTAATATTGTTACAAGTGATGTATTTAATTATGGCAATAGTGACCAGATTTTTGGTAACATAAATACAGTGTCCTTTGTATATTTATTGATCCCAATTCAATTTTGGTTAATACCTATAAATATATACTACAGTAAATATTTTTTATTTTGTTCACGCAATATATCTAAAATATATTGAATTGTAAAGTTGTAATCAAACTTATCAAACAAATAAACAAATACATTTTGT